ACGTACTGTATAGGGATAAATGAGTCACAGAATATGGGTTTATTCCCTAGAGAACCATAAAAAAAAATTAATTCACTGAAAATTACTTGGTGTAATTTTTGGAAGGAAATTTTTTGTTTGTCGTTGTTGTAAAAGGAACGTGGTATGTAGAATTTTTTTGTAATTTTTCATGTTACTATACCGTAGTATGTTTTACCTGTTAACAAAGACAGGCATGTGATTAATTATGATTAAATTTCTAGTACCTGTAGTGAGATTACAGTAGATTGAGAAGAATAGCGAGTCACTCTATTGATATTAAGTTGTTGCTTCACTGTAACAGTAGTAGTCATGATGATGATGATGATAAAAGACTTTCTACTCTTGATGGTGAGTACATTCTGGGACTATTGTTTGACAGCACCAATGTAGTGTTGGTTTAGAGGAGCACTGATGCACACAGCTACTGTACTCCTCTTATTGTGCAGGAAATGCCTCACTTCAATTCCTTAGCTTACACTCTTTTACGTCTTTGCCTGCAATCTAATGTAATCCTTATTTTAAATTTCAGAAGTCATTGCTCAATTTTGTTGGAGTGGGAAAAGTGTTTTGCAACATTTTTTGGTCTTGTGGTCTGTTATCCTTATCTGGGTTCCTATGTGCATAGTGTATCTTCTCATTGTTTATTTGCTTCAGCAGAGTGAATATGTAGAGTTTTCCTCACACTCATTAAAGATGTCACACCTTAACTTTTCAATGTACAGTACAGTGAACGATTAAGACACCATTTGAATCGTTCCCCCTGTCCTCACACAAACAAAGAATATATTTTTATTGTATCAACACATTTATATGAATTATAGATATGCATACATTTGCCCATATTCATGATACATGCAATGTATCTGTACATCCCCAAGATATTGCTATCAATACATACAGGTACACTTGTCTGTCCTCGAGATATTATATATATATATACAGTATATATATATATATACGTATATATATATATCTATATCTACGTGTCCACCCACAGTATGCACACTATTAATTTTTACAAATACCTATTTATCTTGAGGATATATACTATCTATGTACAGTACACACATACTGTAAGGTGTGAGACAGTTTTGTGGCTTTTAAGCTGCACATTAAATTTGAAGGGTAAAAGTATAGATGAAGTATGCTGTTGGTGCATGAATAAATAAGTTATCCATACATGTCAACAAACATTTAGGAAACAGCATACTGTATATTATAAATGAAGAGAAGATTTATAAGTGTGGAGGGACTTCAGACTACAGTTTTATTCAATGGCTGTACCTGTTAGAGCCTGGCTGGATGGTCTATGGGGTGGCTTTGGACATCAATGAACTCAGAATAAATTAGGCAAAAATTTGCAACAACATAATTACATGAATACTGTAGGTTAAAAGGGGAAGAAAAGTCAAGAGAAAGGAAAACCTAAAACAAAAAATTATTACCCTGTATATGAAAATAACACGTTTTGTGTTTGGTTCTGTAAGGGGGCTTATTTTCTAAGATCGTACATTAGGAGAGACGGTAAAACAAATTTAACGGGGCATCGGTGCACAGTATGCATGTCTTGTTTTACCCCTGAGCTGTAGGTTACACCTTTTTTCTTTCTTTTTTATAAATATATAGACTGTATATATAAATTTATTTTGCTATCAGTACCATGCATAATGACATTACAAGTTTTACATCTTGCAAATATGCATGAATAACATTTGGATTGTGCCTCCCAAGTAATTATTGAACTGTCTGAAGTCACCCCAAGTTGTAGACAGTTTTCACATACAGTACTGTACCTCCATTCAATACACATTTTCAGGTACAGTATACACTACTGTATTGGATATATCAAGCACCCCACAATGTTTCAAAATTTTCAAGATAGACAGGTTTATAATATTTTTCACTACAGTAGTTATATTACTCTTGTGTACAGAATTCTGGTACTGTACTCTCCTGCCAGGGAAAGTTTTTTAACATTTGAAATTTAAAAAAAAAATGGATTATGATTATTGACTTCTATTATTATTTACACTTTAAACTAGCAAGTGGTACTTAATATGAAACTACATAGTTAAGGCAACATTTAGATACCAAGAAACTTTGCTTGCTAAAATTGTCCACAAGCTGTCACCTCTTCAACTGTCTTTCTCAATTTTGTCCGAAGTCACCCCATCTCACTGTACTGTACCTTTATCTTCAGGATACATACTCTGTGTACACATACACCTTTTATCTTCAGGATACATACTCTGTGTACACATACACCTTTTATCTTCAGGATACATACTCTGTGTACACATATACCTTTTATCTTCAGGATACATACTCTGTGTATACATATACCTTTTATCTTAGGATACATACTCTGTGTACACATATACCATTTATCTTCAGGATACATACTCTGTACACATGTACCTTTTATCTTCAGGATACATACTCTGTGTACACATATACCTTTTATCTTCAGGATACATACTCTGTGTACACATATACCTTTTATCTTCAGGATACATACTCTGTGTACACATATACCTTTTATCTTCAGGATACATACTCTGTGTACACATATACCTTTTATCTTCAGGATACATACTCTGTGTACACATATACCTTTTATCTTCAGGATACATACTCTGTGTATACATATACCTTTTATCTTCAGGATACATACTCTGTGTACACATATACCTTTTATCTTCAGGATACATACTCTGTGTACACATATACCTTTTATCTTCAGGATACATACTCTGTGTACACATACACCTTGTATCTTCAGGATACATACTCTGTGTACACATACACCTTTTATCTTCAGGATACATACTCTGTGTATACATATACCTTTTATCTTCAGGATACATACTCTGTGTACACATATACCTTTTATCTTCAGGATACATACTCTGTGTATACATATACCTTTTATCTTCAGGATACATACTCTGTGTACACATGTACCTTTTATCTTCAGGATACATACTCTGTGTACATATATACCTTTTATCTTCAGGATACATACTCTGTGTACACATATACTGTACCTTTTATCTTCAGGATACATACTATCTATGTACAGTACATAAGTACAGTCAACAGCAGAAGTTTGTTCCAACCCACCTGCATGGTATGAGGCAGGTGATCTGGTAACACTAGATGGGGAAGAGTGGACAGGTATGCTTTAAATGGCTAGTTATTTAATAGTGATGACCGAAGGTTGCCTAAGAATACATTTCTTGTACGTATATAAATTAGTGTGAAAATAATGTTATTGAGGAATATAAAACATTGCTGCAGGGTGATTAATAGTAACTGGGGAACAAGACGTATCCGTGCTGCTGATATCAACGAGTATTTTTCATGCTTAATTAATGACTTTTTCATTATAAAACAGTCGTATATTTCTCAATGATATTATTTTGACGCTAATTAAGTTGTACAGTATACAGGAAATTTATTCTTAGGCAATCTCCGATCGTCAATCTCAAATAACTAGCCAATTAAAGCATACCTGTCAACTCTAACCCCATCTAGTGTTACCAGATCACCTGCCTCATACGAACTTCTGCTGTCGACTGTACCTTCCCATAACCTAAGCATGCTGTCACACATGCAACATTTATTAAGACAAATATTGGTATAGCCTAACAGACTTTTTGAATGTTTTATTGAAATGTTAAAACTCGTTCGTATTTGAATAATACAATCTTGATGTCTGCTGCTATCCTCATCAGTTTGAGTACTTGTGCTATTGTGGACAAAAGTTCGCTCCCTGTGATGAAACAGTCACAGGAATGAATCTCCGAACTGACTGTCATCTGATGCGGGTGTGCTGTTTTAACTCATTTGGGGTTGATGTTGCATCAGTTTGGGAGGGAGCGAACTTTTGTCCATGGTAGTACAAGGAAAGTATGCAACTGTAGATGACATTAATGAACATCAATACTATTGTTGAAGTACAAGTTTATATCATTTATTGAGAGTTAGGTTTATAAATTCACCATTCAGATTTTTGTGAATCTTTCCAAGTGAATGATATTGTACAATAGCTGGTGATTTTTACCTTGTTACCATAAGGAAGGCAAGGTCAGTTATTCCGACTTTTTTTTAAGTTACTCTCATATGTTTGTCTTTGCAAAAAATATAAGTAAAATAAACAGCAGCTCAAGTATCAGACTGCCATCAGAATTGATATGTCAGCAACCCTTTAGGTGCCAAATTTCTACTCAGATGCTAATTCAGACAACACTTTTGAAAACACACCAAAACAGATGAGATCCTCTTTGTTAGGATTGTTCCCTGTTGAAAAGTTATATGGAAATAACTATACCTGTACAGTACAGTAGTCTAATTTATCCCCCTGCTAGGACTAACATGCGAATAATGTAAAACAAGTAATTCTTTGAAATATGTTCAGAAACCATTTTATTACAAAAACAAAAACATACCAGACCTGGGCCAATGTGATCTCTAGACCCTATTGTTAAATTTTGCATTTGATAGAAGCTGTGTTTTAAGGGGATCATTTTTTGTCTTTTGAGTATATTTAAGATGAATTTTGCTTAATGTGACCAGAATTTAGCTTTTCTAGTCCATTTGAGGTCATCTTTGGGATAGAACTGGGAATCAACATTAATAGCATTGCCATTCTTGAATTGTTCAGGTTTTAAAGTATCTAGTTTGGTTGGCATTGTAATAGGAGGGGTAGACATGAAACTGATTATAATACAGAAATAAATTTATTTGTCTTCTGCTATTTGTAGAATTCCTTTTAAAGTTTATGAATTTGGGACATACGTAGTTTATTTGGAGGCTTGGTTTCCCCATTGCATTCCCATTCAAGTTGGCAGGGGAGTAATTTTTATTTTTAGAGGGGGATGATGTGGATACTATTTATTGTCTTATTTTGCCAATTGTGTCTCCAGTTGTTAGATGATAATATCCTCCCCATTAGAATTTATTTTTCTCTCTGACAGGATGGTTTTGCCGCCCCTGAGGACGTAGAAGACGTGCCACCTCCTCCAGAAGAAGAAGAATATTAATTTAATAAATGCACTACTTGTACCCTCACACAACACTAAAGCAAGTGTAACAGAGGTGTTTTAAGTTCTAGGTGTCTTTTGATAAGTCATTGCCCTAGGACTGCTATAAGTTTGAAGTCCTGTGCTTTCCCTGGACAATACTGAGAAACTACATATATTGAAAGCACTGTTATTCATCTGAGCTTGAGCGAGTATATGATGGCTAGTGAAAAAAAAATTAAAAACCTAATTATAAGCTAATGCATTTTTTCACATCTCTGGAAAATAACTCACAAATAACTTCTTTTTTTTTTTGCTTGTCATTTAACATTGTTTATATGAACTCAAGCAGGTTGGGTAATTGAATGACAATAAGTAACAAAAAGAGGAGTTGTTACTTTATACTCTAAGCATGACACAGCTGTTTTACACACTGAGAAACCTTCCCTGTCATCTTGTCTGTACGTCTTATTGTTTACTGCTACTGTTATCTGCAAAATAAATTATTTGCAACAGCTTTCAAAAATGTTTTAGGCTTTTATCCTTTTGGCTGAGTATTAAGGATGAGATAGACTTTATTTATTGAGAAAATTCCCAACATTGTAAAACGTATTGTTTTTTTACTTTAAATTTAGTGCGAGTGAGGTGGGGAATTATACTTACTTGTTCATTACTATTTCAGTAGCTCTTAAACTCTTTTTCCTGTTCTCTGTAACTAAACATTTAAATTAATCATCTTTGTTGTAGTGTGTAACTTGTTTAGGGAAAGAGGATTCAGTGTATGCATACCAGATTGGAACTTGTATCCTTTTAACACATAACTGAAGTCTTGAAAACTAGACTGTATTGTGTGTTATATTCATCAAACATTACTGTACTCAAACGTCCTTTTCATTAGTTTCTTTTGTTTTAGTTTTGATTTAACTTTTTTTTATAAATTATATCTAAATACATGCAAGGTACCGGCTAGGTCTAAGTGTAATACTTTAGGAGACTGATTTAAAGTATTATACATTTTTATATGATGATTTCTCTGTGACAACTCAAACAGCATATTATTATTATTATTATTATTATTATTATTATTATTATTATTATTATTATTATGTGGGTGTCTTCAGAAAATCTATTACCCTGTCTCAAGTTCTTTCTCGTAACATAACTTCTGTACCACTTTCATTACTTCTGATGCTACTACTATCACTCATATCACCACCTCTTCCAATGCCACTGCCATCTCCAGCACCACCACTGTCACCAATATCATCTCAAACACTACCTCCTCTTCCAACACCACCATTATCATCTCCAACACCACTATCACCCCCATCACCTCCTCCAACATCATTATCACCATCATCACCACCTCCAACACCGCTACCACCTCCAACACCATTATCACCATCATCACCACCACCTCCAACACCGTTATCACCACCTCCAACACCACCATCACCACCTCCAACACCACCATCACCACCTCCAACACCGCTATCACCACCTCCGCCAACACCATCACCTCCGCCAACACCACCGCCTTCTCCATCACCACCACCACCTCCTCCATCACCATCACCTTCTCCAACACCATCACCACCAGCCAAGCATCAGTACGGGAATCATGTTCTCGGCTCCACCTCAGATCCTCGCCAGACACCTCAAAACCTTCACCCCTTCTTAACTCACTCTTCTCTGGATATATTTCATTCCACTCTCCATTTGTTTTAAGTTCCATCTTTGTATGTCCTTCATATTATTTATTTTTTTTTTTAACAAATGGTAACTGAAACTATGGTATTAAACCATTAATAAAATATGACAAGAGCCAAAGTAACATTTGCTAACTTCACCAGAAAAATAACTTAATCTTGTTGGTTACTTTAGATTAGTTTGGATTGTGCTACCTTTCAAAATGGTTAAATCCCATAGTTAAATGCTGGACACTGCTCGCTAGACTAGCTCAATGTTGCAATACATGTTGAGTTTGGGTTTTGTTTTTAGGTTTTGACTTATCATGGCTTATTGCAGTCAACAAATTCCGAGTAGATTAGGCAAAACAAACAATCTAAATTACAATATTAAATGAAATCAAGATGACTGGTAAATGCTTTTGTTATTGTAATTCGTGAGAAATTAAATTATTTCTGGTAATATGTTCACATGATTTTAAAAATGAAACCCACCGCCTCTAACACTATCTCCCCCCCTCCCCCTCCCCTCAACACTACCTCCTCCTTCCCCCAATGCTACCACTTCTCCCATCAACACAACACACTCTTTCCCAATGTTGCTACCTCCTCCTCCAACACTACCACTGCCTCCTTTTCCTCTTGTTATCCTCTCCTCCTCCCCCTTTTCCTCTTGTCATAGTTTTCTACCTTCTCTGTCTTAATGTTAAAAAATGTGTTAAATTTGATAAAGTAATTTTTCAACATGGGCCTTCTTCCCTATAGGCCGACCCCCACTCTCTCTCAAGAGTCACCAGATTTTTACTTGGGAAATTTGATCATTGACTTGAGTGTGTTTAACTTGCCACTTGCATATTAGGGTTCATTTGTGTTTTCATTAAAATTTGCCTCTCTGCTTTTATGCTTGAATTTTGTCATATTTTGGGTACTATATTTTGTTAACATCCCATCCCGTCCGCTTAGCAAGGGAAAAAAATATCATCTTACATACAGATTTCTTTGTATAGAACTATGCATGATGTATATTCTTGTATTTTCTGTGGATATTGTCTTGACTTTATTATGATGAACCTTGATAATGTGATACTGATAAGTAATGGCTTCTAGGAAGCTGTAACTATCAAATAATACTACTTTAGATAGAGTTTAAGTAAGATGAAGTTTGTTGTAAGGTTAGCTACATCAGCTATATTGACAAGGTCTTGGAGAACTTGTGTCACTACATATAGCTAATGCTCATTTAGTATATGAGTATGCTGATAAATTTTGTTTAATGAAAGAGCAGTTCGAAGGCAAAAATATATATATGTATGTAAGTTATGAAAGTAGAGTACCAAGCTTTGTAACTGTTAGATGTATGTTTTGGCCCACCGTGACTGGTCGTTACCCGAGTCACCGGTAATCAGACTTACCTATTATTGCTCGATGCCCAGAAATTAAAAAAAATTTAAACTAATTGGTAATTAAGTTTGTAGGGGAGATTATACTGTCCATTTTGGAATTAAAGTTTTTTTGAGGTTTGTATTTAAATGTCTAATGATTTTGTTTTGCCAAGACATGCCTTACACCAATTGTAGAAGGATATAAGCCTACCACGTGTTTGTCCACATGAAAAAAAGGAATTGTTTTATCACTGGAGAGAACATCTACTTTCTTTTCTTTTTTTCACTTTTGGATTAATAGAATGCTCATTGACTTTTGTTATGAAAAGAAAAAATGACTTCAAGTGAGCCCAATAAGTACAGGTACAGTAGTTTAATTTGAATGTTTATTTTAGGTTTAGAGATTATTTTAGTAATGGGAAAACATTTGCCATTTATGATATAATGTACTTAATAGTTTTGTAGGATTTTGAAACCTACAGGGATCTACTGTACTGAACTGTCTGTTAGATGACTGATTCTTAACAAAACTTTTAATCACACTTACGTGAAGGCGAGAATATTTATATTAGTTGAGTGAGCTTTAAGTGGATATATTGTAAGTTGTTGATACTAAACTTTTAGTTGGTTTAGAGTATAATTAGAATCCTATCAAGAACAAATACCCAGACAAAAAACAAGATCTGTGAAGGCCTTCCTCTAAGCTTCTGTCGTCAAGAAGAAATGTGAAGCAGTAAAGCAATGTGAATACTGTAGTGATGAGAAGTGTTTGAGATAACCAGGCAAGTGACACCATCTTAGGCATTCTGCTGTCATAGTCTAGCAATGGACCACTTTGATGTACGTATATGATTAATGTTTTGATGAATGGTAAGGCCAGTGTTTCTTGTAACTTTATTTTATTTTATTTTCTGGCAATATGGTCATTAGGCAGCAGCTAATATATAGGTAAGCTTGGAATCAAAATGGGAATGAATTAATTTGAGTCGGTAATTGAAAGGTACAGGTTTGATATAATCGAGGCATACATATGTACTGTACTGGAGGTAAAAAAAAAAGGAAACGAAGCCACATTTTTGTACGACGTTCAGTTGACATCAGTCAAGATTGATTTTTTTCTCTTATCAGACTAATAAAAAATGCTGAGCTTTAACTATGTAAATATAAGACAGTAGTATGGTAACTGGTGATGGTTATTCCATTAACTAATTATTTTTTATTTAAATTGTTTTTGATATATACTCTTGCATCTGCCATGCATTCCAAAACATATTTCTCATTACTAAGTAGGATTATTCTCCAAAAGTTGGTAACCTTGCTGTAATGTGCTTGCACTGTAATTATAAAAAAAAATGTGTATAATAGATAACTTAAAAGTAAATCTAGGCTTTTGGCAATTCACAAATTGTATTTCACCCTTGCATATTATGTGGTTTATCCACATTTTATTAAAAAATATGAAAGCTGTATCAAAGAGCTGCATTGATGAACCAAGAAAGCTATGAGAATTCATACCAGACTTGGTATTATCTGTAGTGTTGTTTTAGGCTTGTACTAAAGATTTTGTGCAATTGAGAAACTTTCTCCATACATACTATGGTAGGAAACTCCTCAGCTTGTCTCTCTTTACACCATGTAGCCTCTATGGTTATTATTATTATTATTATCATCATTATTATTAGTTTCGGTGATGATAAACTGCATAAAGTTTCACAAGGTAAGAATGCAGTAGGGGCAGGTACTGTACTCAGTTTTATGGTCACTGTGTTGAGGTCAACAATGGTAATGTTGGGAACTGTAGAGTGGACTCTTCCCAACATTGCTTTTAAATCACTTGTAGAGCAGTCCTACTTAAGATAAATATGGGTTACAAAGCTCTCAGAGGTAAATAACTAATGTACTGTGGTTCACATTTTGAATTTTTTTTAATAAAAGTTACACATGTATTATAGAGGTCCATTGGTCTATACTGTACTCTTGAGTTGATAAAAGAGAATTTACTGGTGATATTATTTAATGTAAACATTTATTATTCAGAATTTGAGCTAAAACCCATTGTTACTTGAAGAGATGAGGACAGTTTATATCACCGCCTTACTGGTTCAGTTTTTGTGCAGTAAGTGGTTCTTGATAAATTACAAAGTTGATTTTTAACAATAAAAATGGAAATTTGTTTTTTCTTGTGATTTTCTAAAGTACACCTAATAGTACACGTTTTCACATTGTATGTAGATAATTTGGATACTTGAATCATGAAGATAAAATATGTTGGTGTGTGCAGAATCAAGAAAACAAAAAGTAAAAATCCTGGACATTTAGCACATTTGTGTTAGAGTATCGGTGCTGTACTGTATCTCAGTGTAATATATCCGTTTTTGTCTTGCCATACTATCATAGCCAATCCCCTGCCCCCTTCCTGCAAGGCTGGTGATAAAATTAAGAAAAAGAAGTTGAATGAAAAGCAAATATTTCAGGTTTCCTGTTATAAAAAAAAAAAATATTGATTTCTTTGACATTTCACTGTTCCAGGGAACTCTCTTTTAAGGGGTTGGCCATGATAGAAGAGCCTCCAGACTGCCCTATCACTATTTACTATACCTCCTTTGATCTCTCTTTCTTCCTTAATTCATCTCGGCCAAAACAGACACCCTATACATTTCACTATAATATTCCTTACCCCTCCCATTCTGGTAACCTCCATATGCAACTTTCACGAAACTCATCTCTGTTGCTTGATTTTTAACATATTGATTCACTCAGAGTTATATGGTTCACTGTCATAAGTTAGGGTAAGAAATATAATACAGTACTGCACGTTGAGTTCCTTCTTTACCTCCAAACTAATTTTCTCGTGATACTTTCCAGTTCTTTGATCATCTTCCTTCCATGTTTGTTTTTTCTCCTTGATTTTCTCTACATCACAATGTTCATACAGTACTTAAATAATTCTCAAATACTTGAAATATTTATCTTCCTCCTTTTTTTTTATAATCTTAGTTTCACCTCCCAGATTGTCTTATTCTACATTGTTTTTCAAAGTTCACCTTGGCAAACTCCTGGCTTTAAAAAAGCATTATCTTTTTCTTTCCAGCATTTATCCTCAGTGTGCATCTATCACACATGCTGTCAAAGTTATCCAACACCTTTAGCATCATTGCTCTTTTTGCACAAGTATTCCCACTGTTTCAATTTACTGTGAAAAAAATGGTAGTAAGAACTGCCATTTATGACATTGTTTTGGCTTAGTATTAATGTCCACATTTTTCGTGAGTTCAGGTATATTTTAATGTACACGAACCTCTTTGTCAAAATATATTTACTATAAAGAACTTGGGGAGGTTAGTTAGCATTGGAGTGTTAATCACAAAATAAATTAAGCTGGGGTGTCTAATCTTCATGTAGGTCATCAAGGGTGGATCCTGGGGGTCTGAATCCCCTCTTTTCATCAGAAAATTCCTATGCTTTTCTTTAATGCAATATTGTACCTGTACTCAGGAATTTTTGTATATAAAAAATAACTACTATTGACCTCAGAATATGTTCTAATATCAAGTGCATATGGCTTCAAAATGACCATAATATTTGGTCAGATTAAAAAAAAACCGGGGGGGGGAGGCATACAGCGACACCCCTCCCCCCCCCCCCGAGCTGGATTGGCTTGCTTTGCTCGCCAGGTTCCCCCATCCAAAACTTCTTGGACCCTCCATTTGATATTCCTGGATAAGCCCCTGATCATTATTCTTTCATCGGAGGGTTTAACTATGGCAAGCAAGGGGGGGGGGCGTGTCAACAGACGAGGAAGCGGCATTAACAGCAAATGAGAATAGGGTCTTGTGTATGTTGACAACCAAGTTCTCGGGGCTATTGTGAGAAAAGGTGAATCAAGCAACAAAGCTAGTATTGTAGGTCTTATAAGAAGGTCGTTCAGATACCTAAACTAACTATCCTTCGTAACGAGTGAGGTGCTTTCCTGTTTGGGGTACTGTCACCCCGTCTGGTCCCCAAGATATGCTAGAGACTCAGTTAATTGAAAATGTCCAAAGGAGGGCCACCCGCCTGCACTACAGCACCTCAGTTACCAGAGATTAGAACGCCTGCAATTACCTAACTTACACTCAACGAGCAAGGGGGGGGGACATAGTTAAAGTAGAGGACATTACTTAATTGAAGTGTTCATAATTAGAAATGACGGACGCCCACCCCACTAGGGTTCACAGCTCGAAGGTTGAAGAAGCCGAAAGTTTGGAAAATTGTCAGGACAAACATTTTCAGAGTGACAGTTGTGAACTTAAGGAACAACCTGCCAGAGAGCGTTGTGACGGCACCAAGTGTGAGCTCTTTCAATATCAGTCTTGACAAACATTGGTGCAGGTTCATATACATAATTATGGAGCCTGTAGGCCTATACAGTAGTAACTAGAGACGAAATAAAAATAAAATTTGCAGAGAATTTTCGATGACACTCTAATTGTGTATATTAATATACCGTAATTTTATAAATGCTTTCCACTATAACATGTGAATATTTAGAAGCAAATATTTCTACTAAAATTTGATTCATATTAAATAGCAAGACTTGTGGATTGAGTGATCGATCTTTAGAGATATTCGTTTATATTATAGTATTTATATATAAACTAGTATATGATAACATAAAGAAAGGTGAAATATTCAAGCAAAATAATAAAGTATGGTAATATTATAGAGGTATGGTTGTCCAGGCGCAAGTCGATAACCATTTGTCTCATTCATGTCAACACACCTGTCAGTCAGCCCGCGAGTTTCATTACTCAGTGTTTTGTTGTGTTTTGTAAATTTTTATGCATGTTAATATTTGTTGTCTTAACCGTATTATATCAGGTGAGTTGTTTTAAACCGTTGTTAGTGTTCAGGTGATCCTCAGAGTATAAACAAGGCGGTGAGTAACTGTGTGTCATGCAGGGGCGAGGCAGCTGAGTAAATATATAACACTTGTATTGTCCTCAGTTTAAAGTCCATCAATTAGTACATCTTATCCTCAAATCTTGTTCCTTGAGATAAATTATGAGGTTAAGCAAGGTTTAAGAGGGATTTTAATTTTGGTTTTGAAAGACATTTATCTTTAAATGTCTTAGGTGTATTTATTTGTTGATTTTTTAAACAATCATTGTAGTTTTGTGGACAATATGCAGCCATTTATTCTGAACCATCAATTATGTGATGCTTGGTTTATAATCTGAGGAATTCTGGATTCAAGTCTAATTTTATATGAAAATTTGGTGAATTTGACAATACCTTGTACTACTGTACTTGCACACCTAAACAAATCGTTTTGCAGAATTTAGGTTAATTTTAAAGATAATGTTAGCTTCATTTACTATGAAATTTTATTTAAACCAAAGAGAAGAAAATTTTTGGTGCAATGATCAAGAACAATACAAAAGAAATCAGGATATGGCTGAAAATGATGTCCATGTTTTAATGCACACTTAAGGATCACTGCAGGTACCATCATTGTATCTTACTTTGAATACCAGGATTTGGTATTAAGGAATTAATAACCAAGAAAGAATAACCATTGCAGTACTTACCAAACTGTAATGGATTTTAGTAGTTGAAATAATGCCTATAAAATACAATAACTATAAAAAAGAATAGAGTTCTTGGAACAACCAGCCAATGAATGTTGTGATGACACCAAGTGCGAGTACATGAAGACCAAACTTGACAAACACTGACATATTGAAGAGACCGTTTAGTATACTCGCCAACAGTGGGTAACAGAAAACTGATTGACTGCCCAACCTGCTAGTTAGCTGACCAGGGACAAACAGGATAAAGTAAAGTAAAATAATGGTAAAACAAAATTAAAATCTTAAAGAATGATTATAATACTAAATGTCATGGGCATTTATATTTTGAACTTCTGAATAAAAACTGAAGAGCAGGCAGTGGCTATGCACGCCTTATGGAACATAGATGAATTAAAATGATTAGTCATCAGACAAATAGTTTAGCTAGTACTGTAGTAATGGTCAGGACCTATTCTGGCTAAAGTCAGACAGCTAGGCTTTTGTTTCAAATGCAGCGCTAGTGTGCTGTACTGTACTGCCTACTGTCCTAATTTTTTTTTTGGGGGGGTGGGGGGGAAGTAGCTACTTAGCTGTGAATTCCTGGCTAAGCAGACTGGAGTCTTAAGTTAGGTTAATCTGTTTGGCAGGGAATTCCTGGCACTCTAGCCCCCAATTTGCCCAGCCAGGAATTCCTTGTGATGTAGCCACTTTTTTTTCTTTCTTTTTCTTTTTTTAGTCATTGTTACAGTATTTGGTCTTTATTATTAAAGTCCTTTATAGTACAGTATTGTAAGTGGTCTTGCTATTGTGGATTTTGTTTTATAGCATCAGATGTTAGTCAACCGTTCAGTTTAATTAGACTGGTAGCCACTGTGCCATTTAACTGTAAAACATTATGATAATTTTTCTTTTACCTTCCCTATGTATTTTAATAGTCACAAAGTCTTTAGTTAGGTAAGGTGAGAGTCTTAAGGGACTAAGTAGTTCTGATTATTTTGTTAAGTTTACAAGCTTCATTTCTTCTTGTATGCTCATTACTTTATACTGTACAGTACTGTGATGTTTTTTTACTGGTGATTTGATTGCTTACCAAGTAAAAGTGAAAAATCACAAATAGGCTGTGGCCTCATGTACTTACACACACTTTGGCAATTAAAAACAAAGCTATCTCTTAACCCTGTCTGATTGTTAAAGCTATACAAAAATATGAGATGGTCATTTTTATTTTTTCTAAGACAGTAATATTTGACAAAAGTCTTGGATGCATAATTGCATCTTCAAAATTAGCTGTATTTTCATCTTGTTTTCTTGGAGAAATGGTAATTCTGGACAATGGATGCTCGCCTTAACCAGCAACTTAAGATATATTGAAGCTAATCTACCTAACCTTCTAACCTACGTAGATTAGGTTGGGTTTGTGCATTTTATGTCAGATGAATCATATAATGTAGCAGTTGCTGGTAAGACTTTCTGCTGTGCAAATATTTGCATGGATGAAGCAAAGTTTGTCTTGGATGCAAACAGTGAGGACTATTGTGTTGCAGCGAGTAAGACATAAAAAATATAATAACAATGTTATTAGTGTACTGTACATAAAACTAATTCCTTCTCATTTTTGGGGTTCTCATGAGATAAGAAAGTTTTTATCTTCTGTAGAAAAATTTCCTTGTCTTTCTGGTTAAGGCACACCAGTTCTACCTGACTTGATTTTCAACAATTTTGATTTTGCAATTTGTTTTCAAATTGTAGCCATTATTTAATGCTCAGAATGTATTATATTGTATTGTATTGTACAGGCATTCTGAAATTTACAATGGTTCTGTTTACAAAAATTCTAAGTTTCAAAGTAATAAATTTTGTCCCATGATTTGAGTTACAAATGAACAACTGAAGGTTTATTTTTTTCATCATTTTCCAAATATTTTTCTAAGTACAGTAATGCAGTTAAATGAAAATCTGCTAAAATAATGCAGATTGTTTTCTACCAATATGCTTAGGGTACATATTTCACTAACTTTATTATTATCTAACACTCAAAATGCTTTAAACTACAAATAAGCTTTCAATGTGTCATCATTCTCCTATAATCACCATATACTATATCTCACTCCACAAGCTCACTGGGGACAAGTAGACTCATCTCCACCACACAGTCACTCAGCCAATTACCTGATTGTTCAATTTTTCCTCATTTACTCACATACAGTATAATGTGTGGCAACTTAAATACAAGAAAAGTACAGTACATATACTATATTCAGCATTCTTAACCCCTTCACTATGGGGATGCCACTTTTAAAATATTTTATTTGCCTAACGTCAAATGATTTTATTCAGCTTAAAGGGAACCCCGTACACAAGGGGTTAAATTCAATATGGTAATTATGTACAGTAGAGCTGTAAAGTTGTAAGAGAGAAAGTGTAGAATTTGGAGATGTTGAGAATGTCAGCAATGCACAAGGGAGAGTGAGTGGAGCATCACCTTACTGATGGCAGCGTTCAAGTCGTGTAAACAAAGTAGCAGAAATTTAGGATAATGTATTGTAGCTCCAATTATAGAACAAAAATCAATGTACACTATTAAAAAGAGTAATATATCTGTACTTGATTCATTATCAATGTTGGGTTAGTGTTTCATATACTTTACACTTTGTTTCAAATCTCATCCAGTTTCCTGTAAGTGCTGGTATGAAATTATTATTGTACTACTGTATGTATATCAATTATTACCAGTATGTTCATTATTGGCTAATATTCATAGTGTAAACCAAAAAATGTAATGAAAAACTTGTTTTGTGGCATTTTAACCCCTTCACTAGGGGGGGGGGCGTTGGTGCCACTTCTCATATTTAATTTAGCGAACACCAGATGATTTTATTCAACAGAGAGGGAACCCCGTACACAAAGGGTGATGTTTTGAGAACGTTTTTTTTTTTTGTAAAAGTTATTTGTTCCTACTGAAGCCTGCTGCATGTATGTGAGGCAGTGGTGTATTTGTTGCAGGGCAGGGCTAAAGTTAAGTGTTATCAATGTATATTTCGTAACCCCCATATTTTCCCACATTAAAACTATCATCACTAATTTAAAATACTGTAGATATAACTTTTTTTTTATTTTTGTTGAAAGAAAATGGCATCCAGGTCTTTTGTCAAATTGTTTTTGTTTTTTTTTGGACAATTTTTTTTTTTTTTTTTTTTATTTTGGTGGGGATGACAATTTTAATTGGGGAACCTAAAAATGTGGACAAACTACAGTACATACTGACTGTGGCCTCCTCATGCTTATAACTTACTGTACAGGTATAGTCTCGTTCAAGATTCTTCGAACACTGCTGGAGACAGCTGGCAACTCGAGGCCGTTTGTTTACTATAGTACATAGTATAATATAATACAAAACAACAAAGCCCAACAATTAAATTAAGCAACGGGGAACCAAGTAACCAATCACCGATGACTTTTACATAAACGTATTCATAATATTTACTACCTACTATAGTAATCAAACGGCCTTGAGTTGCCAGCTGTCTCCTGCAGTGTTCGAAGAATCTTGAACGAGACTGTACAGTACAGTACATGCTTTGGAAAATGAAAACAAGCTGAACACCTTGTGACTTTTAACTGGAACAGACAGACAGTTTGGTAACACTTAGTGCTCTGTTCTTGGTACAGTACAGTACCTTTACACAATGATAGATAAAATGATGATTTATTTTTATTTTATGGAGCATGCATAAGTACTTGACTTGACATGAGTCCATTATCTGGCATTTGTTGTAGGGTGAACAATCTGACCATTAGGTAAGAGAATTTAGTTGAATTGTTTGGAATTAGAATTGTTTAAACTTGATAGTTCAGAAAAAAATTCAAACAACTGAACAAACATCATTTCTCCTGTAAGGTGAGACAAAAGTTAAGCTAATTTGAACTTTCTAGTAAAGTATTACTGTACTGTCTTATTTTAGTTGGATGTCTTAGAATGCAGTCGTTTGCTTCATCAAAGTTGACATAATAGAGTGCCGATTTTCCTTTTATATGCTGAAATATGCATTAGCATGGAAGCCCACAGCCTATTTATAGGGGCATCTTGAATTTTTTATCTTGTATGGAATAAGCAATACTGTACAGGTACATCAATAATTTTTAACCCCTTCGGTATGGGGACTCCACTTTTAATGTTTAATTTGGCTAACGTGAGGTGATTTTATTCAGCACAGAGAAGACCCTGTATACATGAAGTTAAGCTTATTCGTGGGGTTATGACTAGCACAATTTCCCAATTTCATTCTTGTGGCCCACTGACATGAAGGAAGGCTACTCACTAGTGTAGGTTGTTGATCACTGCTCCAGTGTCTCATGCTGCAATATATCTAGTCTACATTTTTAAATTTTTACACCAGAATTGAACATAAAGTGACTCGTTCTGTGTAGATTTTGTTGTGAATTGTGTAGTTTACTGGAGCAACTATTGAAGGTTTAGCTTTTCTGATGTTACATAAATTGAATAAGAAATCTCTGAACTAACCTAACAATCTTAGGTAATGTTTTGGTTAACTCTCTGGCTCTCCTTACTACATAGTAAATCGTGTCCCCTCACAGTCTTCCAACGCAGGTTGCGTTGGTAATCGGAATGGTTTTTCCATTTTAGTAAACATTGGGTAGAGCAACCCAGACCCAAATCACATCCTGAGAGATGCATCTGCCAGCCCACGAGGCTAGTGGGAGGTACTTAGGTAGTTGATAGGGCCAGTCCACTGTTCCAGCATTTCTGCTTATGGGAGGGGTGCTCTCAGTGTGAGATATGGCTGAGTAGGAGGGGTCAGGCCAGCACGGAGCTCTTAGTGATTGCGGCAAAAATCCACAATAGGGACTGTTGTTTTTGTTGTGTATTAACCTCTATTTTGTAGTCCTTATTAAATTTGTACTTTCATCTGATGCCAGATCTGCATTCTGGGCATTAAAATGAACATGTTGAATATGGCCCTGTCCAAAACTTTAAACAAGTAAGGTGGCTCCCCTTCACTTTTCATATACAGTACTGTACAGGTATTCTATTGTACTTAGAGGTAAGTTATCTTGACAAAGATCACTGCACTGTACAGGTAGTCAAGAAATTGTAATGAGACATTTGATTAGTGGTAATACTGTACTGAGACAAGTAGAGTTAGTACAGTACTGCTGACTGCCAAATTTACCCTTCTCTTGGTGGCTCTTGTAATATACAGGCTTAAGATTGGGGAATTCAGGTCTTAGACTATGCCTCAATTAATAGCCAGGAATGATGTATTAACCCTTAGGGCATACCAGTCATTGCCTTGCTCTCCATCACACCCATCGATCCCAAAATGGGGAGAGTATAGGTGTAACAGCTGTCCTCTGTTGGCTCTCTCATTTAGGAACAATCATCCTAATTTGATTTACTTCCTTGTCTTATGTAATTGAGAGTGAATGCCCTTAGACTGGGTTTCCTCTGTACAGTAAAGTACAGTAAATCTGTTTTCCTCTTAAAGAACTAGATATCAGGCCTCTTGTACACTTGTTTCAAAAAGTATCTTTACGATTTTGTGTGAGACAATAAGTCACAATGGACGAAGGATTTTGACAACCCTACCGAGACAACAGGAGTCACAGTGTTCATTTTGAAATTCATTGGACCCTTCCGTGAAGATGATTTTTGGAGTGAGTGTACACACATCAGGGATTTTGGCAAGAATTTTCCCAGTTCCTAGTACTATACTGTACCAGTCATTGTTACCAGGTACCTGTACTGCTGGCTAGTGGGGCATCAAGCTAGGAGAAGAGCATTGATTCTGTAATTTTGTTGTCTAGTTAAGCCTATAGCTAGACCCCTTAAACATTCTCCTGTCTCTTTTGAAGAGGTGAGTAGTCAACTGGAAACAAATAAAAATGGCAGGTTAAATAGGATGGCTGTTTTTACTGGTGCAGTGTGTTTACTGACTAGATAAAACATGCCTTTATTTGAGACCTGCCTCGAGAATACGATACTGCACAGTACAATTTTTGCTTCTTATCTGCTCTTATAAAGGAGATAATGTAGGTAAGATCAGCCTCCTGCTAGGAATGGCTAACAACATGCATTAACAAGAGCTGCTGCACTACAGGTTCAGTGAGAAAAGGAGAATTAATTTCTTTCTTCATTTCTCCATGGACTTGTTTGGTTGCATTTTATGTCTGAATACTGCACTGTATTTATTATTAATGGTGAATTATCTGTAATTCCTGATATTTAGGTAATGAAATTATGGCACTAACAAATATATTTTTCCTCCTCAGGTTCAACATGACTCTAAAAGTGTGCAACTTGCAGGGTGTAACAGATGCTCTGTTTCGTGAATTTCTGTCACAGCCTGGGGAGAGGCAGTGGTGTAGCGAGATACTGCATTCTATTGCCAAGGGTAAGATAACTCATTATTGAGGCATTTACACTCATACACATTGTTGCAATATTACTTTTTAGGAAACTACAGTATTAGTAATAGTAAGTCAGAAAAATGGAGTGATTAGGAGGACATATCTAAAATAAAACAAAGTGGTTCTGTAAAATGTAGTGGCTAGATGAAGGGTTAGTTAAATTATTGTGAGTGAGTCTGTCTTTTATGCTTCTACAGTATAACCCTCTTGTAACTAATTTGGCATTAGAGAATAGACTTAGTGTATGTCTTGTATATTAGTCAGAATCTTGAAGAGGCAAACACCTTTAGATATCAATATATTAGTTAATAAGTTTTAAGAGCTACATAAATATCTGTACCTGTAATGAAACTTTGATGTAGTTTAATGTCTTGTTTATGAGTCACTGTTAAAAAAGATTAATATAATTTTGATAATTGAAAATGTAACAAGACAAAACTCGTACAGAAGATATGCATATAGGTGGAATATTTATAGTAGTAGGAATGTAAAGAGAGGAAGTTGGTAGCTTGGCCGGTTAGTTATTTTCACTTATATTACGTTCTTAAGGGACATCTTGTAAACACCGCTTTCAATACTGCTATTTATTATTCACGCAATGACACAGACACATTAATAGAACATTATATCGAAGTTACTAGCACATTACGTGGCATGGACACATTACTCGAACATTATATTTACGTTACTAGACTTGACTCTCGAACACAAACATGAAATGAATACACTTCCCAACATAAGTAACTCACCTATGGATAGGTCTGACAAAGACTCACGTGTGACCTGAGGGAGGCCCTGCAGTTGCTGTTGAAGAGAGTGCTGGACTCTGGGTGCTGGAGAGGGAAGTCTCCCTCCCGCCCTCAACTAGTGACGAGCGTGACTCCGTCTTCCGTCGATAGTGTTGTGGGAGTCGTCTCAATGGAATTTGAATCAGGAATCTAATGACCCGTGGACGGGACTGCAGGGCCTTTATATGGAGGAGTACCAGCTGGAGAATGACCTCTGCCAATTAACACTAAACTGGTTAGATCTGGACAGCTGTGTTTGCCCAGGTGCGTGGTCATGCCCGGGTGTGTCTTGGCAAGGTGTGGTTTCTTTAACACGGTCATATCATCACAGGGTTAACTCAAGTACTCAGTGGCCAGGGTCAGGTCTCTTGGGACTGTAAGGTGTGTCGACTTGGTATTTGGGTTACCAAGTGGGCCGATACTTAATGTTATATGTGTTGTAATTCTCTGGGCTGTGGTCTGATAAACAATCATTACAAAAAGGAGCTACTTTTTACTGTGTTAACACAATGATCATAATAAAACAGGAAGGTTTATCCAAATTTTTAATTAAATCATGGGAAAGAAAGTGAATTGCTTTGAAAAAATAAGAAGAGCCTTTATATGAAAAATTATGAGGTTGGTTGGTAGACAAAAGTAGGAAAAAGCATCATCTTTTACAGCATCTGTACAGTTTATCTTTTTCATCTCCAACTTTCATTTTACTGTACCTGTCTGAACAAAATTGATTTCTGTACTATACATTTATGCAGTGGTGGGCACAGCTAAACGAAAAGTTAGCTTCGCTAACTGCTAATCTGCTAACTAAAAAGTTAACTTCGCTAACGCTAAACCGCTAAACAGCTAAAAAAATTAGCGGAAGCTAACGCTAATTAACTTTTATTATATGAATTTAGCTTCTTCTTTTTTTTGGCTCTAAAACCCTTAAAAACAGACCTAGAGAGCTGAAATTTTCATATGTTGTCTTGTAGCTTAGACATAGAGCTTTCCCAAAAGGTGTAGCATGCTAAGATCAGATGATGATCAAGGTGTACACAAATAATTAAATGAACAAATGAAATTAAACATTAGTTTATATTCAAGTTTCAACATACACTTTATAATCTTTATTTACTGTACGAAAAGACAGAAAGTATTAAACGAATCCAAAAACTATGGTACTGTATAGCATAGGTAGCAAATAGCATCATGCCAAGATCAGATGATGATCAACTTATCAAGGTGTACACTGAACACAATTTCACAAATAATTAATTTGCATTCCCATACAACCTATCGGCCTTATTCATTATTCATGTAAATATGCAATACCAACCACATACACATTATACCAGTGCATTTTTATATAACTTATTGTTGGTCTTAGTCATGTAAATAAACAGAAAACTCTAAACTTTAATGAAAAGTAAGTTTTTAGAAAATTTTGTTTGGCGCACACCTTGGATGACATCCTGGTTATGAACTTAAGCAGTACTTAGCATAACCAAATATATTGACACAAAAAAATTCTAATTAAATTAACAAATAAAAGAGGAATGAAATTATACATTAGTTTACAATTACATTCTATGATTCTTTCAACAAACACTGACAGTCTTTATTTACTGTAAAAAAAGTATTAAACTTTAATAATCGAAAAATTGTGTTCACTCCGGCTGCAGTGGCTGGGCCTTCTCAGGCAGAACAAAAACGTCTTCACCTTCCATAGCAATAAGCGATAACATACTCTGCTGTCGCAGACACTGTAAGACTGCTTAGACTGTCTGTAACGTGACAACGTCGTAAGTGAACTGAACTCAGAACTGCGGAATTACACAATGCTGCTCAGCTGCTGCAGCGCGGCTTCGACAAATTGTGTCTTGTCACGTTTACATGTACTAACACGCAGTCAGCCAAGCGTGCCTGACTGGCTGTTGGAGACACGTTTCGCGGCGTCACATGCTTACTTCAGACAGGAACAAACATGTATAAATTTTGTTAGCGGAACTAAATTTAGTGGAAGCTAATTGTTCCGCTAATGGTTTCCAAAGTTAGCGAAAATGCTAATCCGCTAATTAGCGGTTTGCGGATTAGCGGAACTGTGCCCACCACTGCATTTATGTCACATAATACATTGATATAAATTGATTTGGTATAAAGAAAGAATACAGAATGTAAACATCGTTCAGTGGTTAGAGGGGTAGGTGGTTGATAAGAGTTTACACATATGGATATTACATTTACATTTTCTTACAATAATATAAAATGATATAGTGAAGGCTTAAAATATCTAAAGGAATCCAGTATAGGTAACCATTTACCGAATTTGTGAGTAATGTGCCTACCGTATACAGTATCACCAATATTTCGAGGGTTCGAGTCCTACTTGGCCCAGACACGTGAGAAGGGTACTGTATTATCCACTGTGACCCTCACTACCAAACATCCCAAGTTTCCTCTGTCGCTCCAGTTTCCTCCTGTACTAACACTGGATAGACCAACCACCTGAATGGGTAGTAAGCTGATGAGTGGTGAAATGATAAATAAATAACTATGACTCTTAATTAGGTACAATATAGTATTTTCTTATTTCCTTTTCATTTTGACACAGGTACCAGAATATAGAATTATGTATAAATGACCTCTTATCAGCCATTTCCTAAATAAAAAATTTTGGAAAACAAGATAGATGGAGTCTCTTGAAAGCTTCAGAATGTTATGGAAATATTTTGGGCTTTGGATTTATGATCCTTATAACTGAACTGATGAAATTATTTTGGTTTATAAATACACCTTTCGTTTCTCTTTAGTTATGAGAGGATTTGATGTAATAAGCCCATAAAAAAATAAAAATTACATGGCTTACAGTAGGTATTTACTTACTGTACTCTTATAAGCAAACAAATATACAAAACATGTGGTACAGATGTTTAATTACTGTGCTCTTACTCTTACAGGAGAACGAGTAGAAACCAAAGACTTGTTGAAAATCCCGTCGGATATTGCACCACTGCGAGGCTCTCCCCGAGGGTCACCTGTGAATTCGCCTCGTAACCATGCTCATCTCTCACCTCTCCTGCTTCCACCTTCTCCACGCTCGCCCCTCTCTCCTCTACAGCCTTCTTCCGCCCCTCTTCCGACAACTGTTCAGTCACAAGTAGTACCTCGTAATTCTCAACCCGTGTCTCCACCCACCATTATATCTACACCCACATCATCGACTTCTTCCACTTTCTCTTTGGCTTTTTCTTCAATCACCCGCTCTTTTTCTGCGTCATTGGCAAATGAAGTTCGCCCCAGTGCCCCAACTAACGGCCTTGGAAGGAAGCACAATCGGCGTAGGGTGAGTACTGTTTTGCATTTTAAGATACTCATAGGCTTGTGCATTTGCCATGTCCAACATTTGGGACTACTTAAATTGATATCTTAAGTTTGGGGTTGTTTTATCAAGATTAGTTCTAATACTGTTCACGAAGTTGTTAAGGGGTATGTTCCCAATTAAAAATGTTAAAATTAAAGATGAAAATGCCTTTTTCACTTTGTGTATTGGTGGGAGACTTTTAGTTACTGGTACTGTATCTTCTAGCTAAGCACATTCCTCTATCATTTCCCTGAGTACAGTACTGTACAGTATTAGACTCACTATTGTACACCCACTAAAAATTTATTCGGCACCCGTGTCATATTGTATTACGCCGGAACGGTGCCGAATAATTTTTTATTGGGTGTACAGTAATGTTTGGTGTACAACATTACTGTACATAATACTTCTTAATCTACACCCAGTAAAAAATTATTCGGCACCCTTACGGCATGATACAATATGACACGGGTGCCGAATAAGTTTTTAGTGGGTGTACCACATACAAAGAGTCTGAAGTAATACCACTTTCCAAGAAAATGCTTTACACAGGCCCTATGATGTATTCTTATGACATGGATTTGAATGTTTTGGCTTATATAGTTGTTTTTATAATGCATGACATATGTTCTACTAACAAGGAATCAGATTTATGCATCTGGAATAAGCTTTTACGATTGGCTTTAGAAGGACAGTAAGAAAGACTGAAGCACATACCTGGTTCCTCAATGATATTAATTTCAGCAGCCATTAGCTTTGATAAATTGGTGGAAGAGCATGGATTAGGTAAATATCTGAAATGCCAGTATTTTATGTATTGGTTCAAGGTGTTAGTTTGGTGGCATAGCCAAACAAATGTCTATTTCAGGTTATCAGGTAAGTCTTATAAAGTGAAGAAATGAAGATTTGACTGTTTGGTAGCCCAGCAGATACTGTATATTCCTTTCTATGTTGATCAAGTACAGTTGGGGACATTTCCAACTACGGTAGTACACTCAGCATTGTCAATCCACCCTCCTCGTGAGGTGTGAACTTCAAGAGTATCGACTCGTTTACCCGAAGCTTCTGGTTCTAAGTTACTTGTTGAGACATGAGGTGGACATGGCAGCCTTGGACCAGATTTTACTCATTCCATGATCCGGAAATGTCAATGCTATACATGCTTCTTTGTTTACATAATGTTCTCGTTTGATGTTGTATGGGCGCTTATGTTTTACACTTAAACAACTTGTGGGCCTAGCCTCCACCAGGGTCAATCACAGAGGATTTACGTCTGTCTTTATTAATGATTTCAGTGATTATTGTGACATGCTTTTACGTTTTTGGAGTACTGTATATTGAAAGAATATTCTAGTCCCCCACTGATATTAAGTTCATGCAAATTTAGAGGTAGCTAAAAGTTAAAGTGAGTGTCTACCCTCCCCCCTCTGCCCTTTCCTCCACACACATACCCTACACACCTTGACAATCGTAGTGCAGTACTCTAATATTTAAGTGGAAAGACATGATTAAATGAATACTTATTCCATTATAATACATAGCATTAATGATGAATTGAAACTTTATAAGCTTATCTAAAAGCTTTAGTAATTAAGCAGAATTAAATAAAACACTACAGTATTAACCAAGAGAGATTATGTAGCTCATAATCTCCCAATAATTAGAAAACTATTTCATCAAAGACAGTATCAAATTGAACATTTCCAATTACATGTTCAAATGGTGAACCACAACAACTTCCACTGTGTCCCTTACTCAACACGTCATAATGGTAGACTACAACTCCATAAAACGACGATTATCTTTATATCAACAATCTAGGAGCTTCTATTGTCCCAGGATTTGGAGTGCACTACTGTACAGTATTACACCTCAACATAAGAAGATGACATTTATTCAGATGTTCCTTGATTTATTATTGTATTTATATTTTTCTAACACTACTGTATTATAGTCTATTATTTTCTGTTTAATTACCAGAGGATTTAGTTGACCTTATAAAGTTTCGAATCAGAAAAGATATGTAATATACTGTATAATGGAAAAGTACATATTTATTAATGTCAAGTATTTGCCTTTACACTGTCATATTAAAATTACTGTCAGACTTTAGGATCATTGAGCCTAAATCTATTTAGCCACTTGTGTATGGGATCCCTTCTGAGCTGAATAATCTCGTCTTGGCGATATTCAAATAGAATATTAAAAGTGGCGACCCGTAGTGAAGGGGTTAAATTGTTGCAACTAATTTGTGACAGATTCAAGAACTTCAAGGTAATTTTAAGGTCTCCTATACAATACTTGAAGAAAATTAACATCTGTTGTGAACATCCTTGTGGTGTTGTTGATGTCTGGATAAGCTTGTGCGTGTAGCTCATTATCCTAAAATAAATGATCATTTGCATCTGCTGGAGGAGTTGATGATTATTTATTAATTTATTCATGCTGGTGGCTGTCTTACTCTGTTTTTTCCCTCATTACCAAAAGTAAATGTTGCTCAAGTGGTGTAATGATAAAAAAATAAGGGGGAGGCTGCATCACACTCCTCCCCTCCTCCTCCTCCTCCTCTTCTCGCTGCATCCTTGTTTTCACACATTCTTGCATATTTTATACCTCTCTTCCTTTCTCCTTTATTTCATATTCTTATTTTTCTCACACAACTATCTCATCTATATTGTGTTCTTTGTCTCTTTTTTTCCCCCCCCACTTTCCTTTCTTATTTTTTCCATCATCATTCCACTTTATGCCTTCCCTCGGCCTCCTTTTCTCCCTCCTCGGCCTCCTTTCCCCTCCTCGGCCTCCTTCCCCCTCCTCGGCCTCCTTTCCCCTCCTCGGCCTCTTTCCCCCTCCCTCGGCCTCCTTTCCCCCCCTCCCTCGGCCTCCTTTTCCCCTCCCTCTGCCTCCTTTCTCCCCTTCCCCTGCCTCCTTTCCACCTCCCCTGCCTCCTTTCCCCCTCCCTCTGCCTCCTTTTCCCTCCTCTGCCTCCTTTTCCCTCCCTCTGCCTCCTTTTCCCCCCCCTCCCCTCTGCCTCCTTTTCCCCCCCCCTCTGCCTCCTTTTCCCCCCCTCCTCTGCCTCCCTTTCCCCCCCCTCCTTTCCCCCCCCTCCCTCTGCCTCCTTTCCCCCCCCTCCCTCTGCCTCCTTTTCCCCCCCCCTCCCTCTGCCTCCTTTCCCCCTCCCTCTGCCTCCTTTCCCCCTCCCCTGCCTCTTTCCCCCCTCCTCTGCCTCCTTTCCCCTCCCTCCTTTCCCCTCTTCCCTTTCCCCCTCTTCCCTTTTCCCCCTCTCTCCTTTTCCCCCTCTCTCCTTTTCCCCCCTCTCTCCTTTTCCCCCTCCTCCTTTCCCCCCTCCCTCCTCCCTCCTTTTCCCCCCCTCCTCCCTCCCTTTCCCCCTCCCTCCTTTCCCCCCCTCCCTCCTTTCCCCCCTCCTCCTTTCCCCCCCCCTCTCTCTGCCTTCTTTTTCCCTCCCTCTGCGACTTTATCATAGTTTTACTGTTCCTTAATCAGTATCAATGTTCCCACAATGATGATGCTCGTGTCATTCCCTTAGATGTGCTAGATCAGTGTTTTTCAAACTTTTTTTGCTGCGACCCACAGCCAGAACAACAATTTGAATTGCGACCCATTAAACCTAAGTGTAATGATATGAAATGAGTAAATCAAAGACAAACACTGTTCACAATTTTCCTTTATTTAGCATCGACAAAATTCATGTAAATTTCTCATGATCCATTTATATTTGAATTATATGTATCCAATTGTATGAAAATAAAAATATTCTGATTTATTTTCGCAACCCATTTTTATTTTGCGACCCAATTTATTTATTTCGTTACCCACTGAAGGGTCGGGACCCATAGTTTGAAAACCCCTGTGCTAGATCGTATGTGTTACACCCCCTTTACCCATGGTGTTGACACAATACTCCCTCATATCGATCCTGGTGCCTTTCTACAAACTCACTGGGCTACACCAAACCCAACTGTAACTACAGTACTGTACCTGCTTTTATTGTACCATCAAAACCGTTTTATCGGAAATTATCATGTTTAATAGATAAGAAAGTTTCATTGCAATAAATATATTTGCCAACTAGACATCATCCTGAAAGCTCTTTCCTCTTGTTCAACCTTACTACTGTACAACCCAGGTTGTACTGCTCCCCCATTATATTTATGTTTTTCAATTCCACTGTAATTTATGTATATACTTATAATAAAAAAAGTAATAAATAAATAAAATAAACAAATATTGAAGTGATAACTGTGGTAACATTATGAGATGTTCTTATTACCACCATGTTATTGAACTATTCCAGATGATACTAAATGTTACATAATACTTCCTTGGGATAAATGTACAGTATATATCAGGTGCCTACAAGAGAGCTCAGGCTCTCAACTGGCTCAGCCATGTTAATATTGTTATTATTATTATTATCCACTCTGTATATGTGTTTTTCTGGCTAACTAAACTGTTTCAATTCAGTTCAATAGAGGTAGGTCTGGACCCCCCGTGCCTACTCTGGCTTCTTAATTGTCTGTGTGTGAACAAGTTGTCTTGGGGGTGACTCTGTAGTTCCCTCTGAGGTTTTGCTATGGTACTTTTCATCTGTGTGTCTTTTAAACATTGTTGAAATAATGAAGATTCAGAGATTGTTCAGGTGGAGCGGGCTGGGGTGGTGATTGTTCAGGTGGAGTGGGCTGGGGTGGTGATTGTTCAGGTAGAACGGGCTGGGGTGGTGATTGTTCAGGTGGAGTGGGCTGGG